ATCTCCACCTTCATGCTGACACACAGGTCTACTCATTAACATAGAAACACCTGATATGATCTCCACCTTCATGCTGACACACAGGTCTACTCATTAACATAGAAACACCTGATATGATCTTCACCAGCATGCTGACACACAGGTCTACTCATTAACATAGAAACACCTGATATGATCTCCACCAGCATGCTGACACACAGGCCTACTCGTTAACATAGAAACACCTGATATGATCTCCACCAGCATGCTGACACTCACCAGGCTAAAGGTAACTGCCTCAGTCCCTAGGCTTCTGGTGACATGGACCCCAGACTCGTTCTGTGCAGTATTGGGTTTTTGGTCCCCAGACCTGTTGTGTGTGGTTTCTGGCAGCAACATCACTGAGTTCTTATCATTTCTGGCACCTGAGAGACAGTGAAGACCAACAGAGAAATGTCTCACATTCTTTTTGAGCAGCCTGAATAATGCTCTGCATCAGTTCCGGCTTCAGATGTGCAATTCTTTATGTAAAGTCTTGAAAATGGCAGCCTGAGATTTATTCTTCTTTACAAACATGGGGACCAACTAGTAGTGTAGCAACTAATCAACTCAAGTCTCTTTAGCACAGGTCAACACCAAAATAGCACAACAAGCCTTATTTCAGTGATGGCAAACCACTAACCTTTGGAGTCTTTCTCCACTGCAGTCAGGATGTTTTCCTGATCTCCAAAAGAGTACATGTTTACTCTGCATGAACGAGAAACAGGTCAGGTCAGAGAGCGTTCACACTGCATGGAAGGGGTCAAGTCAGTGAGCGTTCACACTGCATGAAACGGGTCAGGTCAGAGAGCGTTCACACTGCAAGAAACTGGTAAAGTCAGAAACAATTTATACTAAATGACAGAATGAGCTTATGTTAATTAATGCAACCAGAGATATGCAGCACAGTTCAAATGAAGTGCACTGTAAGACCGAACAGTAAAAGCTTGTCAAATAAACTAGGCTTTGTAAACTCAAATATTTGAAAAAGTTAATTCACCTCTAATATTTTGAGTCATCTGTACTATTTTTTCATTTTAAGTTTACAGTGATCAACTCATTTGAGTCTTTTTTGTCATAGTACTCAAATATTTTCATAACATTCGTCTGATGTCACGCACTTTGAACACGGGAGTTGGTGGAGAAAGTCGGCCATATCTGATCTGCTCGCGTCGAATGAGAAACGCGGATAATTGCGGTTGTGTTAGAGGGTAATGTAGTAATTGATTGCACCACCCTGGCTGATGGATTTGTCATGCTTTTTGGTCTCATTTATGGCCTTCACCTAAGTTACCCAAAAGACCTGGCCAACACATTTGACTTTATCCAAAAAGTCTTGATGGGACTAGATGATGGGAAGTTGAGGCCCAGGGTGTTAAGTCTTAAAAATGACCTTTTGGCAGTGGAGTAATCTGAATGTACTGTAAGTTGTTTCATTACTTGTGCGCATGCACTGCAGTCACTTTTGTTATACCTTAATGCAATGTAAGTTGCACTTTCTGTGGGTTTTCTGTACTTTGTTTTACGTTTTCTACATTTTATTGTTGTTCACATTAGAGAGTTACTGCTCAGCTTCTGGAATTATTATAATGAAAGAGTAAAACGATATGGAAAACAATTGTCCATACTTCTGCTGGGGCATTTAGGCATTTGTACTATGTTTAGNATTTTAAGTTTACAGTGATCAACTCATTTGAGTCTTTTTTGTCATAGTACTCAAATATTTTCATAACATTCGTCTGATGTCACGCACTTTGAACGCGGGAGTTGGTGGAAAAAGTCGGCCATGTCTGATCTGCTCGCGTCGAATGAGAAACGCGGATAAAAGTTTTTCACCTGTGAACAACTCGGATAATTTTCGAAGCTAAAGCAGAAGAGGACATATCCTTAGCGTTATAGGGCTGCCAGTGAAGAATTTTCGGGTGAAACGTGTCGAACTTTCACCACTGTGCTGACTGCATTGAACGCCATTATCCTGATTTTCTCTCTGACCGGGCTAATCTGGTGAGTTAACTAAGGTTATGTGTTGATATTTAAGTGTTGTGTTTTATTATTTTCTTTTTCAAATGCATTTAGAGTCTCAGCAGTTAAGTTTGCACGCATATGAGATCGAGTGAATGAAGGCATATTGTATAAACGTAACAGTATATTAAAAAGTGGAAGGCATTGTATATAGATTTTTTTTTATTCACATCTTAGACTGGAAATTTTGTTGAGTGAATCTACTTCTCATAAATTCAACTTTTTGTTAATTCAGATTCTGATGCATCTTTAATTGTCATGCATGTTCGGGCATGTTTTGTTAGAACTACTGTAGCTAACTTAATTAGTGCATAGAGGTTTTACTATAATTTGATGCAAAAACATCAGTGTTATAATCGGAGTGTTTGCATATTTGTGAAACATGTTAATTAAAAACATTTTGGCTATAGTAAACAGCTAAGTAAAGAACCTGAAAATCAATACGTGAAACAAAAGCGCGCGGTCAAAAATTAACGGACCTCTTCCGACTGTCTCGATTCTGAACTTGATAGTGTAGAATTAACTTTTAATATATAGTTTAGTAGTGTATAGTAAGCTATATGTAGGGTGTTTTGTATTTCTTATCAGTCATGCTAATCTTTTAATATTCTCTCTTCAGGCTAAAACTGAAGCAACTGATTGATGATCTGTTCTCTTCATATACGTATATTTCATATTGTTACTAAAATGTGATTTCCAATGGCTTGGAGGTGCAAACTTTGTGCTGCTGTCTTTGATAAACGAGTACAGTTACTTGGACACTGTCGTTTGCATCATAGCAGTTTTTCCCTTGTCAGTCCATTACCCTGTCTCTATGATGATTGTGTCTGCACATTTCTTTCAGTAAATGCTTTGAAAATTCACTTGACACGGTCACATTCTGAGGCAGTTCTGCATAGTGAAAATCAGGTGGGATGTGCGTCATTCATATGTTCATTGTGTGGATTCAAGCAACCATTTAATGATGATACTCTTCTTAGCCATTTGAGAACACATTTAAAACGGCACGAGATGGTGGAATGTCCATTTAAAAATTGTCACTACCGTTCTAATGTGTATTCCTCCTTTAATGCACACAAAAGTAGGAATCATCCAGACTGTGATGTCTCAGATTTTAAAAATGACATTGTTTTGATAAATACTGACAACCACTTGGTGCAGAGTCAGGTTGAATGTGATGAGGCTGATCCCTCTCAGGCCTCTCCTGAGCTTGATGCTCCTGGGTATAATCAGCCAGATCTTAGTTATGACTGTAGTGAATTGCAAGTTCAGTTGAGAAATAACTTGTCTTGTTTGTTCTTGAAAATGCACAGTGTTCTTCATGTGTCGGAGATGGCTATACAAGACATAGTTGAAAATTTGATGCATATCTTCTCATTGTCCCAACCTCTTGTGAGAGAGACTATTGTTAGAGTTTTGCAAGAGCATGGTCAGTCTGTCAGTGATGCCTCTCTTAATAAATTGGTGGATGCTCTCATGAAAAGTAATGTCTTTGTCAGTGCTACTTTGGAAGGTGCAGAGCTCTCCACTGCTAAGAGGAGGAAAACATTTGTGAAGAGTAACTACCCTCTGGTATTGCCAGTGCAGTATACTCTAGATTCCAGTGGACATACAGCAGTGTATATTCCAATACTACACATGCTCCAAACAATGTTTAAAAACACAGACCTTCTTGACAAGATTCAAGAAGTTAAACCCTCGCTGCCTGGGTTGTATGCATCCCATGAAGATGGAACGTATTTCAAAGAAAATCTGTTATTGTCGCAGGCGGAAGAGCTGAAATTATCACTGATTTTGTATGTTGATGACATTGAACTGGCTAATCCTTTAGGCACAGCTAGGAAGATCCACAAGCTTTTTGCTGTCTATTGGTTGCTTGCCAATATACCAAGTCAGTATAGGTCCAACCTACATGTCATACAGTTAGCTTTGCTGTGCAAAGTACCTGACCTGCAGAAGTGTGGTTATGAAAGTGTTCTGTCACCTTTGTTAAAGGACTTGAGCACTCTTGAGCAAGATGGCATTTTCATTGAAACCCTTGGACACTGTGTCAGGGGAACTGTTTTTTGCGTTGCAGCTGATAATTTGGCTGCCCATGGTCTTGCAGGCTTTGTGCAGTCTTTTCGAGGACCATATGTCTGCAGATTCTGTTGCTGTACAGTAGATCAGATACAGTCTACTGAAGTTTCTGAAGGAGAGTTCAGTGTGAGAACAAGAGCTTGTCATGATCTTCATGTACAGAATGTTGTGCAAGGCGAAAATGCAAGTCATCTTGGTGTTAAGGGTAGCTGTGTTCTCAGGAACACACTGCAGCATTTTCATCCCATTACAGGTTTCCCACCCGATGTACTTCATGACCTGTTTGAAGGTATTGTACCAGTTGAACTGGCGTTGTGCATCAGTGAGATGATTCACCTTAAGTATTTCACTCTTGAATTTCTGAACACAAAAATCCGCACATTTCCGTATCAGCACTCGGACAGGCTTGATAAACCACAACCAATCCCGAAGAACTTTGCAGCTAAACTAAGCATTGGTGGGAATGGGCATGAAAATTCCACTTTACTGAGGTTATTGCCACTCATGGTGGGAAGTAAAGTTCCTGAAGGAGATGAAGCATGGGCCTTATTGATGGATCTGAAAGAAATTGTGCAGCTGGTGTTGTCTCCATCTTTCACAGAGGAATCCATCCAGTACATGCAGACTAAGATAAGTGACCACAGACAGAGCCTTCAGGCAGTGTTTCCTTACTTTAAGCTCCGACCCAAACATCATTATATTGAGCACTACCCAGAACTAACAAAGTGTTTTGGGCCTCTGGTTCACCTATGGACCATGAGGTTTGAGGGAAAACATCGTTTTTTTAAAAAGGTTATACATGACACACAGAATTTCAAGAATGTCTTGAAAACTCTTGCTACCAGACATCAGCACATGATGGCGTATCATCTCAGTGCTCCATTATTTTTCAAACCCCACACACACGCCTCAAGTGTCACCTCTGTCTATGTTGCCACTTTACCAGAAGTGGCAAAAGACTTCATACAGACAAAGACAGATAGGGAAAACATATACAGTACCTCAAAGGTCACCATAAATGGAACAGACTATGCAAGTGGAATGTTAGTTTCTGCAGGCCAGGCAGGTGGACTTCCAAAATTCAGCAGGATTGAAAACATACTGCTTGTGAACAACACTGCTTCCTTCCTTTGCAGGAACTATGAATGCTGGTACAGTGAGCACTTGAGGTCTTTTGAGCTGACGTCATCAGGCAGCTTCTCTGTGTATCAGCTGTCAGAGCTAAATGACACACAAAGTCTAACAGCATATAATATTGATGGGCATTTGATATTAACACAAAAAAGGTCTGTTTTGATCAGAGACTTAAATTGAAATGTTTCTTCAAGTGGGAACCTTGTTCTGTTTGTTCATTAAAAGAAATGAATAAGATTTGTAAAAAGAAAAAGAATACAAATCACAAACATAAAATATCACTCCACACCATGACTACTTTTACGTATTGCGAGCATTATGCATTTGAGGTAAATGATGATTGCAAATTGCTTAATTTTTTTTGGAACAAATTGATTGTTATTAATGTTACTCATTGATCCTGTCCCTCTATTTTTTTTTTTTTTTTTTTTTATAGAAAATGGCAGCTCAAAACTTCCTGCTTCATATCCATATTTCCACAGACATAGTCAGGAAGATGACTCTGTCTTCACGGCCACCATCTGTGGACGAGCTAAAAACAATGATCAAAGAAAAGTTTAAGCTAGACTTTGACTTTAGCTTATCATACCAAGATCCAGATTTCGACGGGCAGCTTTGTTCACTTCTAGACATTGAAGAGCTTGCACAGAAGGTTGTGCTAAAAGTTATAAGATCTGAGACTGACGCCAGTTCAGTAGCATCAGATGGCACAATAATATTGCCCCATGCCATTACTCCAGACAGGACTGAGAGATGGCCTGATGTTTTTCCAGTGCCTACTTTTTCATATGAGGTAGAACTCATTCTTGGTGAAGGAAATGTTGCATACGAGAGAACAGGGAAAACTCTCAAATTATCTAGGGGACAAAAACATGACATCCTCGAGACCCTTGCAGCTAAAATGCACAGCTTTACAGCATACCCCAATGATAAGGACGTTTCAATGGTAACAGAAGCACTTGTCACTCAGCATCCTTGTCTAACAGAGCCAGGATCTCGGACTGGATGGTATGGTTGGAAAAATAGTCTGAAGTTTAAGATGGGGAACTACCGCACCAAGTTAAGTCGGGCTGGCTTTCACGAGGTGGCTGTAAATTCTGGAAAGAGAAGCAGAAACAATCCAGACAAACACGCTTCCCATACTAACATTAAAAGACCAAAGAGGGCAGAAGTGAATTTCCTTCCTAATTTCCCTAGAGGTGAAGATCCTGCAAGCCTTGAACAATTGCGGCTGCAAATTGTAGATCAAGTTCAGATGAATGAGAGAAATCTTCCCCTGATCACAAAGTTGATGCAAACCACCTTTGCACTGCGGCGGAAAGAGGTCATCGGTGATGAGCTACCCGTTGGTGAGATTCTTGACCGTTGGCCTACCCTTAAAATGGAATCTCAGGTGAAAATATTTTCCTTATTATATCTCTTTGACTAGATTAGATTAATTAATGTAATTATTTTGTATTAGTGGTAACTTGGCTGGTTTTACTCAGATTTACATACAGGTTTAAAACTTGTTGTGACCTGTTAAGTTAATGTTTTCCTTTAACAGGCAATGGTGTTACAGTTTCCATAAATGTTTGATAATGTTATATACAAATGTATTTTTTTTGTACAGATCTGTGCTGAATTCCATAGAATCACAAACATGAATCTGAAGAACCACTTCTATGCTGTGTTGGACCAACATGCCCCCCGTCTTCAGAGTTTATTCAGGAAGAAGGCTGCTCACACAGGGAGAGTAGCTGAGGTTCTGGATCAGCTGTTCAGGAATTATGACCTTCAGGTATGTTTGTTACCCTTTCTGGTAGATGACATACCTATTGGAGGGTTTTGGTTGATATTTGGTTGAACTGTAATACGTATGCTCTCTCACTCAAGGAACAAGTTGACGTTCATGTGAGACGTGCTGCTGTCCTTCGTGCACTCCCTGCATATCTACATGAGGATGACTCAAGATTTCTGAAGCTGTGGGATGTAAGTTAATAAATTGTTTGGAATTAATGCAGTCTATCATTCATCTGTTTTTGTGTAAAATATTTGATAGAATTTTATTTATAAAGTTTACAAATTAGGGTGCAGTGGTTAGCACTGTTGCCTCACACCTCTGGGGCCAGGGTTCGAATCCCGCCCTGGTCACACGTGTGTGGAGTTTGCATGTTCTCCCCATGTCATCGTGGGGTTTCCTCCGGGTACTCCGGTTTCCCCATCACGGTCCAAAAACATGCTAAGGTTAATCGGCATTACTAAATTGCCCGTATGGCGTTTGAGTGTGCTCAGCGATGGGCTGGCCCCCTGTCCTGGGTTGTTCCGTGCCTGCAGCTTCCAAGATAGGCTCCGGACCCCCCGTGACCCAGTAAGGATAAGCGGGTTAGAAAATGGATGGATGGAAGTTAAATTAATATATAGAAAAAAGTTTTAAAAGACTGTTCTGGCACCAATTATTGATTGATATGATACTGTATGTCATCAGACCTTCTATCTCTTCTGCTTAGCTGCCATTCAGGTTGTAGTTGCAGCTGCTGAATATATGAATTAGAGATGTACTGTGGTTAAATCTAATTCAACAGTCCTTCAATAAATTGACTTTTTTTGAAAATTTAAAGGACATGTTAAACAAAATATCTTATTTAAAATGTGTTGGCTGTTGTAATTGTGGAGGCTGGTGAACTAATGCTAGAAATGTGTTTGTTAAATTGAGTTTACTCTATACATACACTTTATGTTATGCATATATTACATTGATTCTCAGCAAGCAACAACGGTAAAAAGACCATGAATTTTGTCGCAATATGTTTTAGAATTCTACAGATCTCTGGCTTATACAGACATGTGACAAATCAAATGTTTAATTTTTTGACCCCTATAGAGATCTGGTGTATCTGTTATGCTGTGTAGTTGGTCATTGAATGGGTATGAAAAAAATGTGATTCCTATGGTGCCTTTGCAGTCATAGATCTCAGTGCAATTCGCAATGCAATTCAAATTGGCCTAAGGATAGCTTAGGCAATCTGGAGTAGAGAACTCCTCTTTGTTCTTGTCTACAGGTGGCGCAGTCTGATGAACCTGACATTGATGACATAACAGTTGCACTCCTCTTAATCAACACCAGTTCAACAGATGCCAAGTTCTTCTGCCCAGAAAGGATTGCGGTTGTGTTAGAGGGTAATGTAGTAATTGATTGCACCACCCTGGCTGATGGATTTGTCATACTTTTTGGTC